TAGAGTGACCACAGTAAATCCGTGAAACACTTGTCACTAAATAGTACAACTTAGTGCTAGTTAAACAATAGAAAACAATGGAATTTGCATGAAATTGTACTATTTAGTGTTACTAAAGTTTCACGGATTTACTGTGGTCACTATTGGGAAATAACTATTATTATTATTATTATTATTATTATGTAAAAACTTTGTCTTCACAAGTGATTCTATGTCAAGATTTCTTGTTAGGTGGTTAGTGCTAGTTAAACAATAGAAAACAATGGAATTTGCATGAAATTGTGCTATTTAGTGTTACTAAAGTTTCACGGATTTACTGTGGTCACTATTGGGAAATAACTATTATTATTATTATTATTACTTAATAGTAAAAACTTTGTCTTCACAAGTGATTCTATGTCAAGATTTCTTGTTAGGTGGTGATGGATGGTAAGGGAGAAAGGTGGGTTGCTCCTCACTAGTCTTGACAAATTGTCCCTTACCTCCCCTCCCATAAGAAAATTATTATACCCAATGGGAAGTGGAGTTACAGGCACTCGGGAAATCCTTTGTCATAAATTTTAGTAACACGATTTAGATATTGATTATCAAACTGTATTAATAATAATTATTATTTAATTTATCAGTTGACTATTTCGTTTCAAGGGTTAAATAAAATATCTTTTACTTTCATCTTTATTTCAGGCATATTTTTCCCATTTCAGTCCTTGTGCCTTTCCCTCAAGTATAATTTCTTTGTTGAACGCTTGTGCATGAGAAGACATGAGTTAAACTCAAACAAAGAATCTTAGTCTTAAAGTGCCTATCCCCCTTCTGACAATATTCTCAGTATTGATTCTACATGGGGTAAGATGTTGAATAACCCGAAAAAAATTCATAGTTTGAGTGCGGCTTCTTGAAGTTATAAAGGTTTTTCCATGTCATATGCTAATGCTGTGACGTATGAGGAGGTATTTATGATTATTTGTTGTTCCTTGTAATTCGAAACACCTGCTTCTATTTAAAAACTAACTTGGAATAATTTCTATAAGAGCAATGAGGAAAACAATGACGGATTTAAAATTTAATTTATCTGTACCAGTAGTGTTTTGTATATTAAATGATTACTCCTCATACGTCACAGCATTAGCATATGGAATGGAAAAACCTTCATGATTTCAAGAAGCTGCACTTAAACTATATATACTTTTTAGTGTTATTCAACATCTTACCCCATGTAGGATTAATACTGTGAATATTGTCAGAAGGGTGCCAGGCACTTTAAGCAAATGACATGTCTGAAATGGGAAACCATCATACCCAAGTGGATTTGGTCCATTTAAATTAACATTTAATGGAATAATTTCATTTGAATTTTATTATTTTATTTACAATAAAGTTTTAATTTTTTAGAGTTTAAGTTTTAGTGTTTTATTTCAATGAAGTCCAAACCTCATTGGAGGTTTTTTAGAAGCAAGTGCAGGACTAGAGTGCCGTAAATGCRCAACAGATTCTCTACTGTGCCGATCGGAACGATATCGCCCCATTGCATTGGAGGTTTCAATATTTTTATTRAGACTAGAGCATGAGAAAGCTTGCGTTTTCTTCAATGAAGTTTTAGTTTTGGAGTTATTCTGGTCCCTAGGGGATGACTTTGCCTTGTGGGCTACATTAGGCACTGAATCCCATTTTGAGACCTTTGTGTTTTTCTTACTATGAAGTCCTTTCAAATCTATATCTGGTACTGAATGTGGAGATTGACTATTCTTTTGTGCTAAAGGCTTTCTAGGTGAATATCTTTTATGACTTAAAGCAGAAGTGGAACTGTACCTCCTTTCTTGATTGTTTTCTCTCGGCGACAAGGAATATTCCTTAATTGGTCTATTATTTTTGATATTAAGTGGGGTGCGGCCTTTWACATGAGTGCTGTTAGTGCTACTAGCATAAGTGCTTCTTTTAATGATGTTATTGTTGTCATGCCCTGGTGGTTTTAAACTAGGGATCCTTGGCGATGTGAGTTTCTGTACAGAGGGGTGGTATCCTGGGGTCTTATTTTGCTGGCCCCTTGGGCTGCGAACAGGGACCTTTTTAGGCTGGTCCCTTGGGCTGCGAACAGGGACCTTTTTAGGCTGGTCCCTTGGGCTGCGAACAGGGATCTTTTTAGGCTGGTCCCTTGGGCTGCAGACAGGGACCTTTTTAATCTGCTCCCTTGGGCTGCGAACAGGGACCTTATCATGCTGGTCCCTTGGGCTGTAATTGCTCTTTGCTGGGGTTGTCCTTGCAGCGCAAGTGCTCTTTTTGCTTGGATTCTCTTTGGAGTGCTATACGGTGAGAGAAAATCAGTTTAATCAGTAAGAACTTTTATAAGTGCAAGAGTGAAATCCAGATTAATTCTGTTTATTATTAATATTTAAAGTTTTAATTGTCGTATTTTTCAAATGTACAAAGTTTCTGAAGAAGATTATTTTTAACATGAATTTTTTTTCATAATTTTTATAAACCCTCAAAACTTCTATAACTGAAATCATGTATTTAATACAAAATTGTTTTTCCCTTTTTCCCCCCAGATTTTCCTATAGATAAATTCTACACAACTGAACCAATATTTATGTTAATCATTTCTGCCATATTTTACTCAGTTTGCCTGCTCTAACATTTAAGTTAAAAACGTTTTTATTGCCGTTGGCAACTAACTAATAAATCAAAAATATATTAATGAYTATCAGTTATCATAATTATCTTTTCTTTGAATTTCATTTTATGATTTATGCACATAAAGTATTTAAGTGTTTATATTTTATTTTAATCATTAATTTTGCATCTATTTTTCTTTGACAGCATTTTATATACAAGTATTCAAATCGCACTTTATAGAGCTTAAATATAGCTTGGTTAAGTTAGACAGTACASATTCAACCATACATCATCTTACAACATTCACATGTGCGCATTACTATAGACAGTTACCACCTATCTACAAGACCACACATACATAATACAACAACACACAACGTATTGATTAAGTTAACATCATCTAACAAAACTCACACTTTGCTAAAATATAGATACTAGATTACCATCTAAAGTACTACCTATATCCCTGATTATATAACTGTGTTCTAACTAATGATTCTTGGTACAAAAAATATCAGGAAAGGAGTGAAAAACTTTCTATAGAGAAAACTTCTCGAAGTTTCAGCCATAATATTTGTAATGGGCTTATAAGCAGCACACTTTACCTATGCTGTCTGTGATCGTGGTTTCCAGATTCAGTTCCATGGGAGGGAATGTATGAAAAGCATAGAAGAATATTACTTTAAAAATTTTTTTTTGCTGCTTGAGCTAGATTTCTATGTCTGGTGTGGATTGACTAGAATTACTTAGAGAAAGCTTTTCGAATTTTTCAGCAATATGGCTTACTTTCAACCTGCGGTGATCCTCATTACCTGAGTTTATATCTGATTTTCCCCCTGATATTTCTGAAGAGTTGGTTTCTTTTGTTATACTCTGGTTACTCTGGTCATCGGCRTTTAAAAGTGTAAAAATGTCATCTTCATAATTTTTTTCAGCACCTCGAATTGCATCAAAATTATTCACATCTTCTAGCTGTTCATTGTCAAGGTCAGCCATCAAACTGGCCTCTAGGTTCTCAAAGCTTGATAAACCAGGAGAAAGACAGTCTGGACCRTCTTGCGAACCCTCAAAACTAAACACTATGTCTCTTTCGATAAAATTCTCAAGGCTCACATGCATGCGATCAATTTCAGGTACTGTATATTTTGCTATTGTCTTGCCATCTTTAGTTCGTATGGGAATATCGTACGACCTCTTTCTACTTCTTTGTGGCTTGCTTGAACCTTCGTTAAATTTTTCTTGCATGCTAGAGCTGCGTTGSCGACGTCCTCGTTTTTGTCTAAAAACTTGTCGTCTTGTTCTACCGAATCTTGAAAATTCACTAGATTTGGTRACATCTAGTAAGTTCTCTTCACTCTTTGTRTTTTCGGTTGGTCTGGTYYTASYGAATCTTGAAAATTCACTAGATTTGGTGTCATCTAAGTTCTCTTCACTTTTTGTACTTTCAGTGCTTTTCTGAGTCGTATCTTTGACCTCAAGTGTCCCAGAATTCTCTGGGGGCTCAGCTTGGAACTTCTTCTCCTCGTTTTCTTCACCAGCTTTTCTAGAGTTCTCAATTTGTCTCAATTCAAGTGCYGATCTTGACTTTTCATCATGCTTKGACTCGTCRATATCTAAATGCATTTTAAACTGTTTTGCTTCYTCCGCTGGTCTTGAATGATAACTGTGCACAAYGTTATCATAAAAGTACCTATGCTTCTCCGTYGGRCTGACRATTTCAGGGCTACTCTTGTGTCTAGCAGGAGCTTGGCTCTCATTCTCAGATTGAAGAGAGTTCCAACTYTTAATGGACACATCTTTGTGCTCCCCACTATCGCATCCTCCRTAAACTATGAAATCTTGGAGATCACCATCTGAATGTGCTAAATCTACCTTTAAAGACTCCTTAACAAATGCTACTCTGCGTTTGCGAGGTTTTAAGCTAGACTTAACATATCTACAACAGTGAGACCTAGTATTATAGGTCTCCTTGTTCATTCGTTTTACCGTGTGTACAGCGATCCCTGCTGATTTAAATTTTCCTTTGGAGTCAAAGTTCTTGTTGATTTCRTTTCGTAGGTTGACATGGATGTCTTTGTGTTTTGCCGTGTTTCCCTGGAAAAAAAACAAATACATCAACCACTTTGTAACCACCACCCTTTTTTATCTTCTGGTGTACCAGTTATCCTTCTTCCTCTACTGGTGCTAAAGGTACACACATTGSAGAGAAGTATGAAAAACTGTGCAAGGTTATGAAGGAATGATTTACAGTCCTGTTGCTTTACTGCCAACTAACTTGTACTGTTTTATATAATTATGTGGTGTGGTATGGCAAGGATTGGTGTGTTGTGTAATGATGTGTAAGGGTGTGATGTGGTGTAGTGTAGTGTGGCGTGGTAAATGTTGTGGTGTGGTGTGGTAGGTTGCAGTGTGTTGTTGTGTGGTGTGGTGTGGTGTGGCGTGGTGTGTTGTGCTGTGGTGTGGTAAAGGATGGGATAACAYASGGAGTATAGCGTGGAACAAAGTTACAACRAACCAGTACCTTTATCCAAGGATGAGAGAGGATCTGTTTGGCTGAATATCTTTGATTTACATCTACCACAAGCATGTGMTCTATAAGATCCTGTGAATATAAAAATTCAACAAGTCAGATAATCAGGTTATTTTAAGAAATAAGATTAGGATGGATAAAAACAGGTAAAGACATGTTCCCCCAGKCTGTGAGAGCTCGAGAGCTGATAAACAAATCTGATGTTAAAGAAAAATTAAAATAACTCTACCTTAGCCGAGTCTGATATATCATCCCAAAAGGGAGATAAGTATTCGAATTCTCCTGATAAAATAAGGTCAAACAATTCATCTTGATCAGGACTGGGAAAAAAAAATGCAAATCTTGTTATTGAATTATTTCTAATAAAAGTGAATGATCAATATAGCAGTGACAGAGGCATCCATTGTTTGTTGCCATCTGAGATCTAGAAGTACCTTCTGAATGGAGGGAATCCACAAAGAAGTATATAGGATATCACACCAGTAGCCCAGATATCAACCTTGAGACCATACCTAGAAATCAAATTACAGAAGGATATTCATTGAATAGATGGAAAAAATGGGTCCCAACAAAAAGTATGCTAGCCACACTGCAAAGGAGAGGAGTGGTGGGGTGGTGCAAATTTTCGAACAAGCTTGCAAAAATCACTTGCTGCTTGACAGAACATTTAATCAGTAGCTTATTACTTTATCATTTTTTTTATTGTACAATTTGTAATGTGTTGTCAGAGCTTAAAATGATTGCCAGTTATTGGACGATGTCTGGCCAGAAATGGAACTTGACTGGTCAAATCTTTACCTTGCCAGCCATTTTAATCAGTAACGTTGAGCCAGAAACAAGATATGAGGGAGCTAAAACTAATTTGGCCAGTCATCATGACCAGCAAATGACCAGTTAATTTTATTGCCATGAGTTATCCAAAAATATTTACCCTGATTCATCCAGGATTTCAGGAGCAACATAGGTTGGTGTACCACAGACAAGAAACATAGGTGATTTGACCTCCATTGCTAGACCAAAGTCAGCTAATTTTAATGACTTTCTCCCATTTGGTAAGTCTACAACCTAGAATTAAAAAAAGAAAATAATAAAGGAAGTGAATAAATGCATGAATAATGGGATGAATGAATGGATGAGTGGGACAAAGGTTACTGAAAAGAGGGGCAGAGGTAAGTATGGATGGATAGAGGAATGAATGAATAAATTCAGGTAGGTATGGATGAATGGATGGATGTAAGGGTGAAAAAAATGGATGGATGGATGGATGGATGGATGTAAGGGTAGAAAAAATGGATGAATGAATGAATAGATGGTTGGGAAGGAGGTTACTAGAAGTAGGGACAGGGACAAGGATGGGTGGATGGAGGGATGAGTAAATGAAGACAGGTAGCTATAGATGAATAGATGGATGGAGGGAAGGGTTGATGGATGGATGGATGAATCAATGAATAGGTGGGAAGGTGGGAAGGTGGGAAGGTGGGAAGGAGGGGAGTGGAATAGAAGGAGGGGCAAGGTAACAATGGATGGAGAGAGGAATGAGTGAATGAAGGCAGAAAGGTATGGATSGATGAATGGATGGGTGGATKGATGAATTAATGAATGAATGGATTCATACTTGAATGTGGGACAGAGATGAGAATGGATGGATGGAGAAATGAGCGAATTAATGCAAATATGTATGGTTAGATGAATGGGTGTAAGGGTGAAATAGATGCATGAATGGGACAATCAGACAAACATATAGACATATTTCCAGCTGGTTACCTACCAATAAATTTTCAGGTTTGATATCTCTATGTACAATATTATTACAGTGTAAATAATCCAAGGCCATTGCTAAATCTCTGACCATATGACAAGCATGTACTTCAGTRTACTTGGTAGCTTTGACTATTGCTTCAAATAAATCTCCTCCCTGTCAAAACAAAACAGTATCATAACTACATCAGTCACACAGAAATCCTCTATTTGCAAAGGGAAAGTGTTTGAGGTAAATTGATAACAACTAGTGGTTACTGGTGGGGACGGCATTGGTGTGTCAAATATGACAAGTAAATAAAATGAAACTTAAACAGCATGTAAAAAAGTTGCAAATATACTGTCATTTCTGACTTTAATCCTTCCTTCAGAATAAAGGATAAAATGACATCCAAACGTTTTTACACATGTCAAGCTTATATTTATTCTGGTAATTGCAATTTAATTTACTAATAGCTTTTGGAATAATGAACAGGCTGTTCTTACCTTTACAAGTTCCATTACTAAAAATATTTCTCTTTGTGTTTCATATTCTTCTAATAATTCCACTATGTGGTTGTGTCGTACTCTTCTTAAGATACTAATTTCATTTTCTATCATATGTTCCTGTGACAAATAAAGTGTATGTTAGATTGCGATAGCAGTAGGTGAAGTCATTTTATCAAAAAAACTGTCATTATCGCGCCAGGACAGGTGCAAATGCATTTTTTTGTATCAGGCCAAAATTTATTCCCGTCAACAAAAGTTAAAA